ATTGCAGCTAAATCCAGGAAGGAGCCTCGGCCACCGGAGAGGACAGCGCATGTGCCGACCACAGGGCAGCTACCTTAGGAGACCTTGCGCAGACTGCAGTAGGGTGTGGAGGACGTTGGCTGTCCCCGGAACCGGTCCCCAAGGCACAGCCATGGAAGAATGAGTCTCCCTTCATCTTCTCAGACAATGCTCCAACTTAGAAAACACAGGGAGAACTGCATCTACGATACAGTTAGTACGGCAGTGTTGATGCTGCACTGTTTAGGCGACAGGTCTGGATGGATGAGGACACATCTAACGACAGGGGTGTTGCAGTGACCTCTGGGCAGCATGGGGCAAGATCTGCCCCAAGGGCAGGCAAGCCTCCCTGATCCCACCGGGAGCCACCTGGGACCCCAGCTCTGCCCCTGCACACCCTACACTGCTGGAACAAAAACCTAGAAGCTACCCTGGGGGTGTGCCCAGCCCAGCCTGCTTGGGGCTCCTCCCTGGGGGATCCCACACTGCAGGAATGCCACCGCACCGGGCAGGCTCCAGGTTCTCTGTCCCCACTCCTCCGCACACCCAGTCCTCCCACTCATGTCCCTGGCTGCCCCCAGGGCTGGGCCCTGGAGACATGCAGTGGGGGAGGAGTCTCTCTATTCTTTCTTTGTCTCCCGTGGGGTCCTCTATGCGCACTCTCCCAGAGTGCCCCTTCCCCGGCACTCCTTAAGTCCCAGTGCTGACGTTAAAACCAGAACGTACCCGGGCCCAGGCCCCGTGCTTCTTGTAGGGGCTGCTCCCTGCGCTGGCACAAAGTTCCCAAGGGCAGGGCCGTGCCTGCCACACCCACATGTCGCCACAGCTCCAGGGTGGCAGCGACGCCTCCGTGGACTCAGCCCCACTAGCCCAGGGCACTCCCCTCAAGCCGGGCCTCCCCCAGACCCACTCCAAGCTGAGCAGCGGTCCAGTGAGAGACAAGGTCTCCCAAACACCCCCATAGGAGGTGACAGCTGTGACAACCTGTCAAGAAGCCTGCCTAAGGGACTCGATGTGGAGAGCAGCTTGCTGGGCCTACGGGATGGTCTCAGGGCATGCCAGGCAAACAGTGACTAGCTGTGAAGTCCACAGAGCCAGGCTCTCTCTTAGGGGCTGATGGAGACTCCCAAGTGCACCTGGAGACCCCAGAGCAGGAGGGAGATGTGTCCTACCTGCCCTGCTCAGAGAAGGAAAGGCCCCCAAGAGTGGCCTGAGCCCCAGAGCTTGGGCATGGAAGTGCCAGGGGCATCCTCACAGCAGTGTCCTCAGTGGGGTCCTACAGGCAGATAGGAGCTGAAGCTGCAGTGTCACATCCAGGCTGGGAAGCAAGGAAGTGTCAGCAGATGCCACCGGGGGCCACATGGCAGGAGTGCAGGTGGGGAAGCCACCAGCTCAGCTCTTGTTGCCAACACTGAATCCAGCGCTGGGATGGGACAATCATCCATGTTAGCTGGCGTCAGCCCAGGCCAAGAGCAGACGTCCCCTCTCCACCATGGCCCCGCCCATAGGAGTAGACCTCAGGGAAAAAGAGGCGCCAGGGAAAATCCTGCTTTGGGTAGATCAGGAAGTATCTGGAATCCACAAGACGACATTTTCTGCCAGCAGCCAGGATGAACACTCCAGAGACGAAGCTCCATACAGGAAAATCAAGTCCTAATTTTGTACTCCTAGGGTGAACTGGGCAAAGTCAAAACTAAATACAGGTGTCCCTTGGCGTCCGGGGGACTGGTTCAGAAGACTGTCAGCTGACCTCAAGTTCCTTACATGAAATGATGCAGCATTCGCATGCAACCTGCACACATCCTCCCATGAACTTTAAATCATCGTAACTAATGCCACTAAACAGTTGTGATACCCACTGGTCGGGGAATAGACAAGGACAGTCTATTTATGTTAGGTATGGGCACGATTTCCTTGGAATATTTTCAGTGCAGATTTTGAACACAGACAAGGAGGGCAGGCCGTACAATAATGGTTGTGGATGGCCCTTCCATAGATCCAAGACAGCCACCCTCAGCACCATCCCTGGCGCCCTCATAGGGGCCAGCTGGGGCAAGGCTTACAGGGCTTTCAGCTGTGGAGTAACTGACCCAATATTACCTGTCAAAAAGCACCGTGGATCCCCTGCCAATCTGGCCCCGTAGGAAAGGTGGTGGACAGAGCCATCTCCCGGGCTCACCTCCTGTCAGCAAGGGCATGTGTGGGTCCTGAGTGTCACTGCATGCCCAGAGATGTCTGAAGGGAGGCTCTCGGGAGCAGGCAAGAACTCTGACCCCCAGGCAGGCAGGTGCACAATCCAGGTTTTGCAGCAGGGAAGGTGGCAACCCAAGTGAGCGTGGTCTCCCCACGCAGAAGCTGCTGGATCTCCAAAAATAACCCAGCAAGTCCAGACTGCAGGCCACTGCAAACGCGGCTGGGATGAAACTCAATGGGGTCTGCCTAATCCCTGTGTCTGAGCGTTCAGGAAGGGAGCAGGGTGGCATCTTTTTAGGAAACGGCCAGGCATCCCTGATGAGATCATGGGGCGCGGCGAGTCAAACCCCATGCCCATCATGGCCATTTGCTGCTCCACCCAGGGCCAGCAGCAGCCTGGGGACACCTAGCTCCTCCCTGGGAGGCCTCCCTGGGTGCCATGTTCCAGCTCCACGGGCACCCAGGAAGCAGAAAAGGTTTCAGGAAAATGTGACACACTGTTTCTCAAACTTCTTAAAGCATTTGGGATTTTTATGGAAATTTATTTTCTAATACAGAAACAGAATTGTTGTTTTCAAAGGATAGCATTCTGGGATCGGATTTCTTTTTCTAAATTCACATGCACCTTCCCCTATCCCCTCAAGACAAGGCACTGGGGAAGGGGTAGTGACAGGCAGCTGTGGCTGGCACCAGCTCGCCAGGGAAGCACACCACTCCCTCCTGCAGGGCTCACTGTGTTCCCTGCAGACTTGTTTATGTAGCATGCGTAAATTCAGCTTATACAGATGTTCGTGAATAAATGCACCTAGTTGTTATAATGTGTGCATTACATGAGATGGATTTTACTTCTGGTGTTCCCAGAACAACCCAGCAAACAGTCCTTAAATTAAAACACCCCAACTATATAACTCAAAAACCAAGAGGGGAGGAGCATCAGCTGAGCAATTCCTGTGTCGGCAAAGATTCTGCTTCAGTCCACTCCAAGGAGGTGACCCGCCAAGAGCATCCAAGCACCAAGGACCACGGGAGCCACCTGCTGGGTGCCCACGTGCTGTGCAGCATCCAGCAAGTGGGTGCCTCCAGCCGCAGGCTCTGCACCCTGTCCACGCATCATGCACATCCTGTGCTACAAGGGTAGCCTTCTAGAAAGCCTGAAGATGGCTTTGGTGGGAAGGGGGGTCCAAAAGATGAGCCAATGTCATTAGGTGGAGTCAGCAGGCATAAAACACCTTCAGAGAAGTACTCGGTGGTTCTATTTGCAGGGTTTTTCTGATAGAAAAAGAAATTGCCCCCCCCCCCTTTTTGGCCAAGCAGAGTTAGACAGTGAGAGAGACAGAGAGAAAGATCTTCCTTCCGTTGGTTCACTCCCCAAATGGCCGCTACGGCCGGTGCTGCGCGGATCCGAAGCCAGGAGCCAGGTGCTTCCTCCCAGTCTCCCATACGGGTGCAGGGCCCAAGCACTTGGGCCATCCTCTGCTGCCCTCCCAGGCCACAGCAGAGAGCTGAACTGGAAGAGGAGCAACCAGGACTAGTACCCAGCGCCCCAACCAGGACTAGAACCCGGGGTGCTGGCACCGCAGGCAGAGGATTACCCTAGTGAGCCATGACGCCGGCCGAAATTGCCCTTTTTAAGTTGTGTCTCATCCAATGTTAAAAACAACACAGGGCTTTCCCAGCGCCAAGCCCAGCTCGAATGGGTGGGTCCCGACTTGTGACGGTTGCACAACTATACCACCATGGCTTCAGCTCTGGATGCAGCCCCTCTGTCTCTTGCTCTGTAACAGTGACAGCTGGAAACGTCTAAAGGTTCATGGAAAGAGGAATTACAAAAAAGTGGGTGTGATTTCCAGCCCTGGCTCCTGATTTGAGCTTCTAAGCAGTGATGATGGCTCAAGTACGTGAGTTCCTGCTACACACATGGGAGACCGGGACTGGGTTCCCATCTCCCAACTTCAACCCAGCCCAGTCTTAGCTGTGTGGGAACTGGGGCAGTAAACTAGAGGATGAGAGCTCGCTCGCTCGCTCTCCCCAACTTTAAAACTATAAGAATAAAAAATTTAAACACCTTTATTTCTCAACATGAGCTCTGTCAAGTTCAAGACACTTTTGTATGCAACGCTAACAGCCTTTTAGACCATCTGTAAAGTGAACATCCTGGGAACCAAACTATGCCCATGCAGGGTTCTCTGAAATGTTAACAGAAGAAAAACGGGTTCCCTTTAAAGGCTAGGCCAAAGGAAGTCAGAAGGAGCCAGGTCAGGACCGTAAATTGTAGGTCTAACGACTCAGAAGTGTTCACAGAATTGCCGCTGCTTGATGAGATCCAGGAGCAGGGGCACTGTCATGTGGACAAGGACTCTCTGGCAAGCTTTCCTGGGCATTTTCCTGCGAAGGCTTTGGGTCATCCTCTCAGAGCTCTCGTCTGATGAGCAGGTATCATCAGTTCTTGGCCCTCTGGAAAGTCAATGAGCCGCCATGACCTTTGCTCTTGACCTTTGCTCTTGACCAGCCTGCCTTTGTTCTGGCTGCACCACGCCCACCTCTTGGTAGCCACTGTTTTGGTTGTGCTCCATCTTCAGGATCATACTGGTAAAGCCAGGTTTCATCTCCCGTTACGATTCTCAGAAGAAATGCTTCAGGACCTTGGTCCCCCCACTTGTTGGAAACCCCCATGGGAAGCTCTGCTCTCGTCTGCAACTGCTCTGGGCCAATGGTTTTGGCACCCAGTGAGAAACTTTGCTGCGCTTTAATTTTTCAGTCAGGATTGTGTAAGCTGCACCATTAAGATGTCCATGGTGTTAACTACTGTTCCTGCTGTTAACTGCTGGTCATCTTCAACTAGAGCACAAATGAGATTAAGTTTTTTTCCTCAGTTTCATACAGATGGTTTCCCACTGTGGCCTTCATCTTCAAAACTCATCCCTCCTGAAAACAAATTATCAATTTGTAAACTGCCAGTTCCTTTGGGTCATTGCCCCATAAACTTTCTGTAAAGCATCAAAGATTTCACCATTCTTCCAACCATGCTTCACAATAAATTTGCTTTTTGTTCTTGCTCCATTTTTTCTATTTTTAGTTTTGAAAAAAGTCCTACTCAAGAATTACATAATTTCCAAACATCTTCCAAAATATAGTATCCTTAATTGCTACAAAACAAATTCAATAAGGAACTCAAATAGTTACATTTCTCTTGTATAAACATACAGAATGCCAAGTAATAATATTTGCCCTATAATGTGAACCGTGTCTTTTGTTCTCACTAAAGACAGCCCGCCGCTTTCAGGCTATTACAACAGGCAAAGTTCCGGCTGAATCACTCTGAAGCTAGCTCAGTGTAGCGCTGGGGCACTTTGCTCACTGGGGTGTCAAACTTTTTTTTAATTTAAGAAACAGAGACAGAGTGAGATAACTCCCATCTGCTGGTCCAGCCCTCCAAAAAGTTCTAGCTGAACCAGGCCAGGCTAAAGCCAAGAGCCAGGATACAATCTGGGTCTCCTATGTGGGTGGCAGGAACCCAAGTACTTCAGCCAGCACCACACTTCCAAGGCTCTGCATCAGCAGGAAGCTGGGAGCAGAGGCTGGGAACCACACCCAGGTACTTCGAGACAGACACAAGTATCCTAACTGGCATCTTAATTGTCAGGCCAAACACCTGCCCTGGGGTGCCAAATCTGAAGTCTGCAGGAGACATGTGGAGCTCAGGGACAGAGTAGTATGTAGGTCTGTCTGAATGTAACAGCAGCAACACCAGCGATTTCTCTATAGGGCCACTTCTCAGCTGACACCTACAAGGCCATGTAAGTGGCTGCCACAGCCACAAACATTGGACTCTTCCCAAAAAACAAGTCCAATTCCATAGGGTCATGGGCTGCATGTGTAGCTGCCATCTGCCCTTGTTTAGGAAGAAAAGGTCAGAACAGAACTAGGACAGGAAGTCCCCAGCGATAATCAGATCCACACTGGTTTCTAACATTTTCAAAGTGGACACCACTGGACAATTCCTCTCTTTGAAAGTGGTGACATGGTGCATATTTCTTTCAATGTTCTAGAAACTCTTCTTGTCCCCAGGTAGTGGAGACAAAGTTAGAAGCTATGGCATCATCTCCTGTCCTTCAGCCTTTCCAACCCGACACCTGCCTGAACCAATTATCTGCTCCCTGAGCTGTACTTTGAGGGGGGCCGATTCCTGTCCATCAGAACTCCTCACTGTTCTCCAGTTTGGGGATGTGACTTGCCAGACTCATGAGAACAGCCAGGCCCTGCCTGCAGCCAGTCACGGAGACAGATCTCCATCACCAGGAGAGGATCCTGCGACTCTCCACGCCAGGGGTTCCTTTCATGCCCCATCACTGCTGAAGCCCCTCTACTCAGATCTTGAGCGATGACCCCATCACCTGCAGGCAGCCAAGTTCAGAACAGATCAGCTCACCAGCCTGGTAGTCACCAACTATACCTGTACCCAGCTCTTGGGAGGGCACCAAACCATCTTCACAGCCGTGGTTCCAGCAACAACAGCTGTGCTGAAAAGAGGACAAGCTCTCTTGTTGCAATTTTAGCAGAAGCCATGTGACTCTTTCCAAACCATGTCTTGTCTTTCCTAGTGCCTGACACTAGACCCTCTTCAGGCATTTTTTTAAGATTTATTTATTTATTTCAAAGGCAGAGTTACAGAGAGACAAAGAGAGACTCGTCTTCCATCTGCTGGTTCACTCCTTAAATGGCCACAATGGCTGGAGCTGGGCCGTACAAAGCCAGGAGCCAAGAGCTTGTTCTGGATCTCCCGTGTGGGTGCAGGGGCCCAAGCACTTGGTCCATCGTCCACTGCCTTCCCAGGTCATGGCAGAGAGCTGTAACAGAAGTAGAGCAGCTGGGACTTGAACTGGAGGCCATGTGGGATGCTGGCACTGCAGGAGGTGGCTTTACACGCTACATCACAGTGCTGGCATCTTCGGGCATGCTGTAAGAAGTTGGGACAAGTTTATTTGGGTGCAAAAGTGTCTGAATGCACACATAGTTTTCTCATAATACACATCTCCCATGAACTCTGTGAAGAGCCCTCATATCTGGTGTGAAATGAAGCAGCCAGGGGAAGGGGAACGCAGCTAAGGAATTCAGTTCACGGCTTCTCAGCATGGACACTGGACACCTTCGCTGAAGATTCTTCCCCTAGAGAGAGAACGAAATCAAATTCAGACATTTGAGATGGCCTCTTGCAGAAAATGGGTATTTTAAAACTGCCTTGCAGGCCGGTGCTGTGGCACAGCAGGCTCGGCCTCTGCCTGCAGTGCCAGGATCCCATTTGGGCACAGGTTCAAGTCCTGGCTGCTACACTTCCCATGCAGCTCCCTGCTAATGCACCTGGAAAGCAGTGGAAAACAGCCCAAGTGCTTGGGCCTCTGCACCCACATGGGAGACCTGGATGAAGCTCCTGGCTTCAGCCTGGCCCAGACCCAGCTGTTGCAGCCATTTGGAGAGTGAACCGGAGGATGGAAGGCCTCTCTGTCTCTAACTCTGCCTTTCGAATAAATAAAAAAATCTTTCAAAAACACTGTCTTGTAGCTGGTGGCCCTCTAAGGCCTGTGCAGCCAGTGGATTCCTGCCTTCACGGAGCTGAAGGGCTGGTTGGAAGACCTCCTGGAGCAAAAGGTGGGCAGCCCTCCACGTCCTCAGGTTCTGCCTCTGCACACTGAACCAACCAGATGCTGGGCTACGTGGTGAGGCCCAGGACGGCTGTCTGTACTTTCTTATTCCCCACACGAGACTCTGTGACAACCACTGACACAGCAATGAGCTTGTACCAGGTGTTGGAAGTCATCTGGACATGACTCCAGGTATACAGGTATACAGTGTAGGTTCTCTACAAATACCATACCATTTCCTATAAGGGAATGGCGTCCGAGGAGCCTGGTTTTTCAGTGGGCCCTGGAACCAATTCCCCACAGACACTAAGGGACACGTGTACAGGCTCAAGCCCCACTCCCAGAAGGAAAACCTGCTGGAGGCCCAGGGCACAGCAGTGGGTGCTCACCACGCCACCAGGCCGCGTCCTGCACGCTCACAGTGGATTCCCCCAATGCTGTCCACACCACTGAGCAGGGCAGAGTGGCCCTAGGGGGCCTCGGGACAGGGACCTCAGCTGAGGACTGGGGATGCAAGGACAACCCTCTGAAAGTAACAACTTCTTCGTGGGGGTTTCTATGTTCATTCTGGAGTGAACGGCTTTCTCCCCAGTGGTGGCGATGAAAGGAACACAGCCATTAGCACCACAGCCCAGAAAACACCAGCAACCAGAAAGCAAGCCAAGAGGAGTTTGCCAAAATTTAAAACATCTGTCCTTCAAAGGACAGCAAGAAAGTGAAGAGGGCGACCCACAGAATGGCATGCACTGGAGGATGTGTACCCACAATACGTAAAGAACTGTCACAACTCAATGACAGGAAGATCTCCCAGTTAAAAATGGACAAAGGATAGCAATGGATCTCTCTCCAAAGACATGGAAGAGCGCCACCAAGCACAGGAAAAGGTGGCCAGCATCCTCAGCCCCGACACACAAATCAAAACCGCAACGACATACGACTGAGACAAGGGATAGTAACAAGCGTCGGATGGGATGGCGGGAAACTGGAATCCTTGCTCACACGCAGCTCGTGGGGACGCAGAGGCGTGTAGCCACTATGAGAAGAAACCTGTCAGTTGCTCCAGAGGTGCGGTACGGAGTTCCGAGGAATCCCACTCCCGGGTGTAACCCAAGACAAAGGCCTGTCCTCACGTGTCAAAGTCCAGCAGCCTCACCGACAACGGTCGGACGCTGGAATCGACCCGAGGCCTGTCCACTGGTGCCTGCAGAAATGCCCTGAACCTACGGGGAGGTGTCATTCAGCAACAAAAGGAAAGGAGTTCCGACACGTGTGCACAGCGATAGGCCTCGGAGACCCCGGGCTGTGCTCACGGAGCCGGCTGCAGGGACCTCTGACAGAGCTGCAGAGAATGGGATCGGGGGTGCCTGGGGCCCAGTCTGAGTGAGAGGGAGAACGTGCCAACCGGCACGGGGCTTCCTCCTGTGCGCCCGGGGTGCTGGTGGTTGTGTGAATCTAAATGCACTACAAAATCACTGAGTTATGGGCTTTGAGTGAATTTTATGGTTTGCAAATTGCGTCTCCAAAGAACTCTTAAAAAGTAACAGGCAGGAACACAGAGATACAGAGATGATAAAACTGATTTAACGAACACGCCACACTCACACAAGCTGTAGGGCTGACCCCTGCACCCGGCCTCACAGGGACACTGACTGCAGCTGCCGCAGGGCGGGGGCTCTCTGAGGCCCAGAAGCTCCTCTCTCACCCTGTGTGGTCGGTTTACATGTCCTTGAGCAAAGACACTACTGAGACGCTTTTGCCAGTGAATTTTCAAGTAAATGCAAACACCAGTGATTGGTCTAAATGGCACAATATCCACAGCACACATCACACGTCGAAGGGAACATCAGGGGCGGGGGAATGGCTGTGGCCGAAGCCCCATGGGAGAGGCACCTGTCTCCCCAGGGCCCTCTGAGGCCCTGCACACTCAGGGCCATGTCAGGGCTGACCCCGAGAAGAACCCCTGCGGCAGGCAGAGGGAAGGTGCAGCCCCTCTGAGCTGACTTGTGCCAAGGAGAGAGGTCCGCGTGGGGACACACTTGCAGTCCTCCTGAGACTCACACAGAGGCCTTGGGGACAGAAGCCACAGGAGGTTTCCGGTTGGGCCTCTGACGCCTCCAAGCTGCCAGGAAGGAGCCTGAGCAAAGGCAGTTCTGCCCCCGACAGCGCCACCTGCCCAGTGAGGCTCCTTCTCAGGCCTCCCAGAGCCTGCAGGCCTCATCTAGATCCCCGCAGAAAGCGCAGCCAGGACCGCATCCCGTTCGCGGTGCACAGGCTCTCGGACCCGGTCCCAGGGAGCCAGGACCAACCCCTGCCTGTGGAGTCGGGAGCTGGGCTGTGTGTGCATCTGCTGAGATGTCCCTGCCCCTGCCAGGATCCTGGCCACCTCCTCCTCCTCCAGCTCAGCCTCACCGGCCCTCCCGGGGAGCCTGCCCTGCCTCCGTCTCATCACCATCTTGCACCTTCTTTGTGTCATCCAGTTTCCACAGGTCCTCTCCTGAAATCGGAAAGGAACCAATGCTATAACATGGCCACCCCGGGCAGTCTGGGCTGGACACTCAGGGCCTGGCCTGGCTCAGCCTCCCACTCTGTCATGCTGAGACTCAGATCGGAGAAGCCAGGCTGGGGGCCCCAGGCAGCCAGGGGGAGCCATGCTTGTCCATGTGAGCATGAGTCTACTGGGTGGAGAGGAGGATGGCCCAGCCTCGGGAGGTCGGAGGGCAGGATCAAGAGCCCCCGCTGGCGGCCTGGGCCCCCAAGGCTCTGCATCGCCGGTTCATGAACTAATGACATCCCAAACACAACTGGTCTGTGCTGGCCATGGCCCTACCCCTTCCTTCTTCCCAAACACTGTGGTGTAACCGACAGTGCTGCAGGGTCCGCGTACGTGAGGCATCAGCAGGAACACAGGACGCCTTCTGCCTCCTCCAGGTTTCAAGGTCTCAGGGGCGGGCAATCTTTCTTCTGCCAAGCACCGTTTGGATATTTATGACACTATTCATGGGCCACAAAATAATCAACTGAACCACAGGCTGCTATAGACAGACTGAATTTCAAGTCCCGCCTGTGGTTGCCTTGGCTGGGCCGGACCAGGTAATCTTGCGGGCTTTATCTGACCTGGGGGCTGGACGTTCCCCACCCTTGAAGGAAAGTCGGGGATGGGGGAGAGGCCAGGTGAAACCTGCTGCGTTCGGTGGCCTGCTGGGGTCAGCAGGCGGCTGGGCTCCCATCGTGACCCGAAGCAAGGGAGCGATCTCTGCCTGGTGGGAGCTGGTGGCGTGTGTGCAGCACCTCCTACAGCCGCTCTACACTCACTGGGAGGTTTTACACCTCAGGGTGGGCTCCTGTACCCCAAGACAGCCCTCCTTCCAAATAAGCAACCGTCACCCACGATGTGCACTTGTAAGCCTAGGAGTTGAAAGTGACAGCAGACTCCCCCAGGATCCAAGAGCAAAGACTTCCACAGCAGGGGAGGGCGCTGCCACCACGACACGTGGGGGCCGGCGCCCGGCCAGGCTTCAGAACCACCGAGCGACAGCAGGCTCCTGGGACCGTGCAGGGAGCACCCGCGCCCAGAACGCAGCTCCACAACAGAAACCTGATTCTACATGCCACGCTCAGCGAGCACCCTGCCCCAGGATTTCACTCTGTGACCCCTCTGCATTATTCTAAAGCCTAAAGCCAGATATCTAGCAGCCTGGGGCTGAGAGGCCGGGAGGGAATAAAGACAAATTTGTCTTGCCTTTGCTCTGTTTGCAAAGACACTGGCTCGTGGCAGAATCCGAAATTCAGATTTTTCAACAATTCTTTAACAATCCAAGCTTCGGGCTGATTCTCCTGTGTTTCCTGTTTTGTTTTGGCTTTGTTCGAGCATGCCTAGCTTACAGCCGAGGGTTGCTGAACGTCCAAGCCCAAGGCTTCTGCACACACAGCCCTCCCCTGGGCAAGGCAGTCACTCAGAGAAAAGGCAGCTCACAGGATAGCCCACGTCACCCTACCTCATGGCCTTGTCCAGTGGCAGACCGTCCGGCTCCATCCTCCTGGGAAGTCTGCCTACCACAACTTGGGTCTTCCTTTGGATTTCCTGTGCACACTGCCTCCCCCAGGGAGAGAACAGGAGAAGCAGACAGGCGTCACGCACAGGGCGGGGCAACAGACCACTCAGTAAGCCATGGGGGCCTTCCCAAATCTACTGACGGCCCCAACCCCGTTCCATCTCCATGACCATCACTTTGACGGCTGCGAGGGTGCCCTTGAGGGGACAGGATGGCCCACCAGCTGTCAGGAGGGAGAGGTGGTGATCCCACGGAAGCCTGTCTGAGCTGGAGCCCAGCTGTCAGGAAGGAGAGGTGGTGATCCCACGGAAGCCTGTCTGAGCTGGAGCAGGATCTGCTCTCCCAGCCACTCGGGCGGCCGCTGGCCTGAGTCTCCAGTTGCAGGCCCAGGCCCTTCTTGTTGCTCACTAGGGTGCTCACAGGTGCGGCTCTCCCTCCCTCTCCTATCAAACCTGTACCAGTGTGGAAAGGGGCGACTTTCGGCCCTGCTGTGTGCCTCCCCATCCCACACCCACAAATCCATGTGGGTGTGGTGTTCAGATTCCTATGGCAAAAAAATACACAGTTCTGCGCTTGCGCTGAAAATACACATGTAACTTTTTTTCTGCTGGAGAATAAATATTACTTGGCTATTATCTATATACAAGTAAAATTTTATCATAGTTACAGAACTGAATTTATTAGCAAAATGTGGCTTGGCAAAATTTAATTGTAAGTTCTCACAGATTCCTGAACACTTTAATTCTCTCTGTCGTGGTGGGGTCTGTGGGACCAAGAGGCTTGGTCAGCCTGACTCAGCACCGTGTCCTTACCCACAGCAGTGCCTGGAGTGGGCACTTGTCCACTGCAGTGATCAGATGAACAAATGAGGAAAACACGAATGCATGGGTGAGCGAATGAATGGGAGAATGAAGTAAATAAGCCGCTACCGATTTTCCATTTTCCTGACATTTTTATGGAATATAGACTAAAGCAAGCTAAAAGCTATCAAATGTTTGCCTCAGTTTTATTCCTAAACAGTCAAGATTCAGTAAGTTGTAAGCAATGAACACACTGACTCGGAAGCTTACGTGTCTGGAGAACCAGATACAGCTAAGTGAAAAGTAGCACCTGTTACCACCCAGGTCTGCAACAGATGATCAGGGCCACTAGAGGGAGCCACACAACCTGTCAAAGAGCAGCACTAGGCAGCCGCCCAGCAGGCCGGGTTTCTGTGCTTGTCCCAGCATTGGGCTCTGTAACCAAACAGTGCTCGCTGCCAGACTGTACAACGGACAATACAGCAGAGCACGCTGAAACGAGCTTAAAGCTGCAATCTCAGAAAGGGACCCACCTCCCCATCTCAAATTTTTCACATGTTTTCTGTACAATCCCTCTGCTTTGAAAAACTTCAGTGTAAATGGAAAAGAATTTTCCCTACGGATGACAACTGAATCCATTAAAAATCCACCTGGAGAAAGAACGTGAAACCATGATGTACAGAGTAGAAACAGATTCCTACAGCAGGCTGCAGCTATTTCCTGCCTCCAGCGACATCTCGGCAAAGAGCATACAGCGGTGACACATCCGCCACATTCCTTCCCATGAGGGAAGTTGAGGCACGAGCAGCCTGGGAAATCACACTGCGTGGAAGTCAGGTCCCGGGGGTCCAGTTTCATGGGTTCCATTTGCAACTGAGGGTAGGAGACAATTGCCCACAAACTCCTTCTCCAGAAAGATGCAAATACTCTGTAAATGGGTTCAGGACCATTAAAAGCCACAGATGTTGTCAAACAGCCAGCACTGAGCAAACCTTCTAAGACCCAGTCCACAAATGAGGCTACTTCAAAACCAGATTTTAAACCATCTGCCAGGAGCAGAAGTTAACTCCCCTTGAAAGGTGTCGAAGCATCCATGCCTATTTAGAGCAGAAAGCTCAGGGCTGGCCCTGGCTCCTGGCTCAGAGATCCACCCCCCACGGCACAGGGAACTCTCCAAGGAGCACTTGGAAGTGAAGGGACACGAGGGACACAGGGGCAATGCGAGAACCCCTGCCTAATTAATGGCCAAGCCTAAGGAGCCTGGCAAGATGCCTGGGGAATCTGTAGCACCGCCTGGCGTGGGAGCTCCAAGCCGCTAATTTCCACCAAGCCAGGAGCAGCCTGGAAAGCAGGACCCGGCGGGGTACCCACGCTCACCTTTGAGTGCATTTGCAGCACCTGCCAGCACTGACTGACAAGCGGCTGCAGGATGAAGCCCAGGAGCTCCTGCGCGAGGTATAACCCTGCCGGGGGCCCTGGAAGATGGAGACAGGAGGCGTGGGTGACATCTGGAACGCCGTGAGTTACACAGGAAGTGAACAGACCCTAACTTAGAACCACTTTCATTTAAAAGTTACAGTCTTACTAATGTAATCACATCCTAGTTCTACTGACGACCCTGCTTTCTTCAAGGACTCAAATGTGCTTCTGAAATGTTCTCTGTGAAAGTCCCAAGCCTGAGTGAATCAAGGTGGAGGGTTTCGCCTCCGACTCCCAGCTCAGTGTCACCAGGCTAGACCCCACTGGTGCTTACTCAGGGACAACCCCCTTGGGTTTCTCCGGAGAAAGCCATCCGTGTCTCTCCACTGTTAGGCCAAGAGGCCCTCCCCACTCTGGGCATGTGGTGCCTGCATTCCTACACATGGTCTCTTCTCTTTCCCTTCCAGCCAGGGAACAGCCAGCTCCAGGCACAAGGGCCGCGGCCTCATCTCTGACACTTGGAAAACCCACAGGCTGGGCAGGCCCCCATCTGGCATCCCTGATTCCTAACTTGGGGTCCTCCGCCACCTCATTAGGATCCTGCCACGGCCGCTCCCTGTCACTCACTCATCTGTAAAGATCCACAGAGCCCAAAACATAGCGCAGCCACCAAACCTATCGCCATCATCATCAATAAGCTCCAAGGCGCTCTGGCCTGTCATCGCCCGAGGAAATCAGTCCCCAAGAGGAGGCAATGCCGGGCACCTAATGAGCCACCTGCAGCTGCAGAGTTGGCTCTGACACTGATAGGAGGGAAGACAGGCCAGCATTTTAATTACAGGCAGTGAACCTGGGAGAGCCCCCACAGCTTCCACCCAACGCCCCGCCTGCAGCCCCAGCCTGCACCCAGTCCCCGAGAGAGGCCCCGCAGGGCAGCCCCTCCCTCCTGCAGACAAAGGCAAAGAGCACGGCCTGTCAGACGCAGTTTGGAAACCCTGAAACCAGCGCCTCTGGGTCCCCCCTGGCTACTTCCTGGGCATCCCAGCCCTTCCTCCCTTTGGGACCTGCCACTGAGGCCCTGTTCTTCCCCCTCACAAACACCACAGGGACCGTCTGGAACAATCCCAAACTGAAGACAGCCTGCCTGTCTGTCAACAGGGAAATAAACAGCACCACCACCCGCCATCTTTGACGCTGCCACTGAGATGGCAAAGCTGGAGCTGGCGCCTGGCCCAGCCGTGAGCACAGCACTTGGGACCCCTGCCTCCCTCTGCACACAGCTGGGTTCACTTCCTGGCTCCAGCTCCGGATCCCAGCTTCCTGCTCATGCAGACCCTGGAAGGCAGCAGGTGATGGCTCAGGTGGAAGACCTGGGTTGAGTGTGTGGCTCCCGGCTTTAGCCTGGCTCAATCCTAGCCATTGCAGATACTTGGGGGAAGAACTAGCAGATAGGAGTCTGTGGCTCGCTCGCTCTCTCTGCCTCTCAGGACAAAACAGTCCCACTTTGTAGAATGCTGCCTTTTACTGAGTGAGTTTTCCTCCTAAGACATGGGCCTGGGTGACCTACCCAAAAAAGCACCGAGCTTGCACCTGATTTTCAGCTGGACAAAGGGAACTTATCCTGGGTATTTTGATGATCTATTCTAACTGAAAACGGGTCCCTGGCCACAGAGAGTTCATAATTGCTGGATTGAGGAAGATCTTGCTCACCACAAGGGGCAGGGCTTTCCAGAAGGGGAAAGCAGGAGGTGAGGCGGCCGCCCACCGGGTCTCCCCCCCTCCCTGTGTCTCGCCACACCTACCTGGGTCCAATTCCACCCCTGCAGAGCCCTCTGCACCCGACACAGACACTGGGGATAACCAGCCAAGGAGCACAGTTCTCAGTCCTACTCACACTCTCCAAGTCTTGCCTGCTGAAGTTGAACTTTGAGCCAGATGCTGGTGCGCTGGCCCCAGGCCCCTGGGGGCTCCACCTCCCACAGGCGGCCTCGCTCCTCAGGATAGGCCAACAGGAACTGCCTACAGACTGGGAGAGGGGGACATACACGTGAGGCAGGCAGACGCACGCCCCCAGCTCTGTCTCCCTCGGGCCCAGCTCTCTTTGATGTCTTCAGAAATGGCTCCAGGGGCTCCTCTTGCAGCTACACCCCCCCACTCAAACCACCTTCTCATCGGCCAACCGAAGCCACAGGATCCCCCCTGCTCACCTGGCACTCCCACCTTCATCCACCCCATCTGTGCCAGTCATCAGGGGGCTGATCCCAGGATGCAAACGCACACCCCCATCCCCAAACCCAAGGACGCTCAAGTCTCTTCTACAATTTGGTGTTCTGTTTGCATTTCACCTCCCGGCACTGTGACTCCCCTCTGGTTGGCCCTGATGCAATGTAACTGCTGCATCAGCAGTTGTTAGACTTCATCATTAAAGAATCACAAGAACAAGTACACAAGCGATGCTTTTCTCCTGAGTTCGTTCCGTGTGTGGTCGGCTGAGCCCACAGCTACAACCCCGCTGGCATGTAGGGCGGACTGTAGCGTGGCCTGGGGCTTAGTGGGAACTCACTCCTCACAGCTCTGGATGCTGGAGGTCTAAGATCCAGGGGTCAGAGGCTCAGTTTCTCCCTGAGTCCCCGTGTGCACCCCCGGTGCCACCTCTTCTGAGCACACCTGTCACAGTGGGTCAGGGCCTGCCCCGTGACCTCACTTAACTTCAATCGTCTTTGTAAAGGCCCTGTTTACAAATACAGTTGCATTAGAGCTTCAACCTAGGAACCTGGTGGAGGAGGGGAGACACTTCAGTCCTTGATGCCACCCCATCTTCCCTCCTGCACTGTCGTCCCACTCCCCAACCCCCTCCCCCCAAGAACCGTCCAGCTCATCCTCCGCAGACTCCTGGGCTCCAGAGGCCCTGGGAGGCCCGTAGGCTTTGCGTGCACATCCCCAAGTGCATGTTTTCACATGGCAGGGCCCAGAATCCAGGCACGTGGGAAGCCCCTCCTGGCCCCACAGGTGCTAGGGGCCCTTCACCTAGCCCTCTCCTAACTTCTGTGGGACCCAGGGCAAGAATACAGGTGGAGACCTGTAGCACTCAGGCTGGGCACAGGAAAGGCAGGAGACCACCAGAACAGTGCTGGACGTGAGTGTGCATGCTCCGCCCTCCTGGATGGACAAACCACAGGGAGGCCCGTCTCAAATTCAAAATCCTTCGACTTTTGGGGTTCTGCACCAGAATGTGGCAATACCCAGTGAGCTGGCACCCCAGCTCTCAGCCCACCCCTCCTGCCTCTGTTCTCCTCCTGCCTCTGCTCCTCTCATATGTCAGGGCACATCCCCATGCCACCAGCGGCCGAACCTGGAGCCTAAGGGGGTGCAGACTGGTGGCAGGAAACGCCTTCAGGAGCAAAGACCCAGGGGAGACATCCACTGGGGCCCTCGGCAGCCACAGAAAGGAACTGGAGGTCCTGGTACCATGAACCAGTACAGGAGGGGCACAGACCTGGGTGTGTACTCCCTCTTGGAGTACCCACCCTGTGGCAAGGGACATGGCTGACTGAGGGCTCAAAGCGTGGGCTGGGGTAGGAGTCCCTCTCTCCCAGGTGGAGGACGGACTGCACTCAGTGAAAGCCATCGAGGCCACACGTGTGGGCAGTTGCACCTGCCACAGAAGACATGGGATTCACAGTCAGCACCTCTGGCTCTTCCCATACAGGGCTCACAGAGCCCCAGGAGGGTCACGGCTCGGCTGGCACTGCAGCCCCGCACTTGGAACCTACTGTTCCTTGTGGAAAGGGCCCCCTTTACCTACACGGAAGTGGGGGGGCAGGAGGCGGGGGGCTCACTCTGACAGACTTAAAGCAAGGGTGGGGAAAGGGCCTCGGGGTGGTGTGTGTGGTGGGAGACCCTGCAGCCCCTGGAAGCGAGCCTGTGGTGCACTCAACACAGTCAAGGCTCCTCAGGGTTGTAACCGACCAAGAGTGTGAGAACACAAACGACTGGGCCCTCTGGAAGGAAAGCTCGCCCGGCCTTTCTGCCTTTCTCCGTGGCTTCAGAGCAACACTGCTCCCCTGCGCTACCCCACTCCTGAGGCTCACAGACGACTGTGCAACAACAGGGGCAGGGCCTGGAGAGACACACCACACCTACTCTCTCTCTGGCAAGGCGATCAAGAACAGGACGATCATGGCCACACTGGGGCCACTGTGTGCACAGGCACACGGCCTGTGCACTGGCTCTGGCCTTCCCTGTTGCTCCTGGGTCAACGGACATGGCAAGGAGCCAAGGGCTGGCAGTGAAGAAGCAGGCACTGGGAGGGCCTGGCAGCAGGTGGTAGCTTGGGGGCTGCTCTGGATTCTGCCTCTCTCTCAGACGGGCGGTTTGCTTTCCTTCATTTCTAAACCCAGTTGTGTCCCAGACTGGGAAAGGTTCACTTCTTGGCACTGAAGGGTATTTTGTGTGGAAGCATGGACCTCACTGGCATGCACAGCTGTCACTCGCCAGCACTCCCCATGCCTGAGGTGACATTACCTTGGTACATGGCAGGAGAAATGGGGCAGCTGACTCCCAGGGCCTCGTCCTCGGAGAACGTCTCACAGAAGTCCCGCAGCATGGCTGTCCCCAAGCCCTGGCGACGGTGCTTCCTCCTGACGAACACGGTATCTAAGACAGGCAGCAGGTAGCACGCGCCGGTGCCATCGCCACACAGGCTGCCTGCAGGGGTGGCAACAGGCATGCACTGTAGCTGGGCTGGCTGCTGTCCTGCAGGGACCCCTGGGACCCCAGCACAGCCAGCATCGTCGGTCCCACCTGGATGAAAGGTTAGCTGTGCAAGCTAAACAACCAATGCTAACACAGCAGATGATCCCAAACCACCTGTAACTCAAGGCTACGAGGGCAGCCACTAGACCACCGCCCTGAAAGGAAACACGGCAGAGCTGGGATACTGCACACGGCCTCCTCAGATCCTCTCCTCACCGAGGCTTCTGGAGCCAAGGAGACACATCTGGCGACGTCACGGTTCTCCCTGCAAAGGTGAGCCCTGAAGTCAGGTAGTGGGCCAGGTAAACAACCTGGCCTGTCTCTAGGATACGGACTTGTTTCAGAAACTCCAGTTACAGTGGCATGAAAGCATCCCAAGCAGACACAACCACGGGCCCCACTTCCCTTGGAATGGAGTGAGACAGGCTACAGCCAGCATTTCTGCGCTGAGAGCATGATCTTGCAGCCACACACCTGTGTCAGCAACCTACCCAGGAGTCGACTCTACATAGAGCCCACTGCCCCCCTTCCTCACGTCCAAGCTACCCAGGAAGTCGACTCGACATAGAGCCCACTGCCCCCCTTCCTCACGTCCAAGCTGCACAGGAGCCCAGGCCCTGGAGGGAGCAGGAAAACGAAGATGCAGCTAATCCAGATCTCACGGGATGAGGTGGTATTTACCCCTGCCAAGACTCAGAAAATGGGTTATTTCCCATTGCAAGAAAAATGACTCAGAGTCTAATGAGCCAGACTAGACTGTGAAGGTGCACCCCACTGTGGTGAACTGTTCGCAAAACTGGCCACAGTGACTCTCCTTCCTATATCCATGCCCCTTTGCCTGTGATGGTAAGACTCTGCCATCCAGAAATGGGGTCTTTCAACCCTCTTCTCCCATCTCTGGCCCCGTGCCTTGATTTGTGACAGCACATGAGTTCTGAGCCCGGGGCCTCTGTTGTCTCTCAGGTCCCACAGGAGCAAACCCAGGCTACCCTGGAACCACAAGGAAAACCTGGATCAGGAACCCCTGCAGTCCCAGCCAGCCTGCAGCAGCCCCAGGAGCACAGCCACCAACTGTGGGAGCATCAGTGTGGACACACAGCAGGCCTGGCAGAGCCCCGATAACCACCCACCCAAACCACCACCCGAGAGAATGGTTAGCTAAATTCAGTTATTATTTCATGGCAAAAATGAGTGAATAAATAATCTATGGTAAATAAAGAGCTTCGGTTCCCTTGAGGCCATAGTTGGAAAGTACTTGGAATTTCAACCTTCATGTGAAATAATATAATTTCTATGTATATATGATAAGAACGATGTTCCCCAATGGTGAAGTCTTTCCAAGGGAAGGTTTAAAGTCAAATTAAGATACATTTACATTCTTAATGGTATTAAACAGAAGTACAAGCTTAGGGATCTATTTAACAAACGAACTGAAGGCCTGGAATAAGGAAACCTATAAAACATGCTCCAAATGAGGAGAACTCTCACAATCATGGAGTAGAGGCTCAACACCATTAAGACAGCAATTCTTCCCAGATCCATCTGCAAGTTCAAGGCCAGGCCCATCAAAATCCCAGCTGGCTTTTCTGTAAAAATTGATAAGCTGATGCCAAAATTTAGATGAAATGAATTTTTATATTATATGAAAAGAATCTAAAATAACCAAAATAGTTTCAAAAGAGAAGAGCTAATTTGGAAGTTTTATGCTGTCCAATTTCAAAGCTTATTATAAAGTCAAGGAAATCAAGACAGGATGATGCTGGCGCAACAATAAGCAAACAGACCAACAGAACAGAACTAAACCCAGAAATAAGCTCTTACCCTCGGATTTTCAACGAAGACTTTTTAGATATAATTCCAAAGGCACGATCCACGAAAGAGAAACACTGATAAGCTGAACTTCATTAAAATTTCCTGCTCAGCATTTTGTTATGGAAACTCCAACACTAAAGCATATGTATTAGTTCAACTGTCATCAGTGAATGATGTTATTAACAGGGGAATGGGCGTTGCTGCTGGGGAGCTCTGGATTTTCTCCTCAATACTTCTATAAATCTAAAATTGTCCTAGGAATAGCTTAGCAATAGTTATTTTTTTATTTATTTGAAAGACAGTTACAGAGAGAGGTAGAGACACAGAGAGGCTGGTCTTCCATACACTGATTCACTCCCCAAATGGCTGCAATGTCTGGAGTTGTGCAGATCAGAAGCCAGGAGCTGGGAGATTCTTCTCGGTCTCCCACGTGGGTGCAGGGGCCCAAGGACTTGGGCCATCTTCCACTGCTTGCCCAGGCCATAGCAGAGAGCTGGATTGGAAGTGGAGCAGTGGGGACTCAAACCAGCATCCAGATGGGATGCTGATGCTGCAGGTGGCAGCTTTACCCACTACACCACAGCACTGGCCCCTGCGTTAATTATTTTGTAAAATGAGGCTGTAGCCTTACCTCACACCACATACAAAAATCCATTCAAGATGGACCACTGACATAAAACTGCTCATATAAAATTTCTATGGGAAAAAAATTTCAAAACAAAGAAGTAATCTCTACAACTCTGGGTTAGGCAAAGACTTCTTAGATTCAACATCAAAAACACAATTAAGTGACAAATCTAAGTTCATCAAAATTCAACTCCTTGACTTCAAAAGATGCCATTAAGGAAAGAAAAATCCAAGCCACAAACTTTAAGACAATGTTTACAAGTCACATTTCTGATAAAAGACTTATAACCAGATTAAAGGATTCTTAGAAATCAATAAGAGAACAAAAAACTGATTAAAAATGGACAGAAGATTGGATGTCTTTCTTCAAAGACATTCAGATTGCTCATTAGCTATGAGGAGATATTTGACATCATGAGTCATCAGGGAAATGCAAGTAAGACCCACAAAGAATTGTGACTTTGGCTTTCTAGAACGACTGCCATCAAAAAAGCCAAACAATAAATGTTGACAAGGATATGGAGAAATTGGAACTCTCATATGTTGCTGATGGAAAGGTACTCATATAATGATACAGTCACTTTGTGAAACAATTTGGCAGTTACTTTAAAAGTTAAACTTAGCTTACCAAATAACCCAGCGATTCTACTCCTAGGAACCTCCCCAAGAGAAATGAAAGCATGTGTCCATATAAAACATGGAAGCAAATGTTTGCAGCAGCATCATTCATAAAAGCTAAAAACTGGAAACCATTTATCAACTGATAAATGCATAGGCAAAAAGATGTATAATCATTCAACAGAGTGCTACTCAGCAATAAAAAGGAATGAAATACTAACCCCTGCTACAATTTGCACAGATCTCAAAAGCACCCTGCCCAACGCGAGAGTCTACATTCTCTACCCTCACTGTAGATGACTGCGTGGGAAAGGCCGATAGACAGAGGCGGGGTTGCAGAAGTGGTGCAAACAGAATGACTGACAGCAGATGCCACATCTGGAGGCGATGGAAGTATCCTAAAACTGCATATGGCTAAGAGTTACACAGCTCTCTACACCAACCGAAAATCACTAAGTTGTGTGCTTACACTTGACAACTTTTATGAGCTTTAAAATTTCTACTTCAGGGTCTGGCGCTGTGGCATAGTAGGCTAAGCCTCTGCCTCAGCACCCTGGTTCAAGTTCCAGACGCTGCACTTCCAATCCAGCTCCCTGCTGATGGCCTGGGTAAGCACTAGAAGACGGCCCAAGTGCTGGGGTCCCTGCACCCATATAGGAGACCTGGAAGAAGCTCACAGCTCCTGGCTGTGGACTGGCCCAGCTCTGGCTGTCACAGCTATTTGGAGAGTGAACCAGCAAATGGAAGACCTCTCTTTCCTCATCCCTCTGTCTGTAACTCTGCCTCTCAAATAAATAAATAAATCTTTTTTAAAACAAAATGTCTACTTCAGGAGCCTAGTGGTTAGACACCCACATCTCACATCAGAGTGCCTGGATTTGATCCCTGGCTCCAGCTCCTGATTCTAGCTTCCTGCTAATGCAGACCCTGGGAAGCAGTGGTGATGGCTCAAGTAATTGAGTTCCTGTAACCCATGTGGGAGGCGTGGACTGACTTTCCTGGGTCCTGGCATTGACCCCAGCCCAGCCTTTGCAAGGATTTGAGGAGTGAATCAGAGGATGAGATTCATTCTTTCATATTCATTCATTCTCTCTCTCTCTTTCTCTCTCTCTCTCTCCACCTACCCCCCATCTTCTCCTCTCAAATATTTTTTTAAATTGTATTTTAGGGGGCCAGAACTGTGGCATAGTAGGCTAAGCTTCCACCTGTAGTGCTGGCATCCCACATGGGCACCAGTGAGTCTCCTGGCTGCTCTTTGTCCAATCCAGTTCCCTGCTGATGGCCTGGGAAAGCAGTAGAAGATGGCCCAAGTGCTTAGGCCCCAGAAGATGCTCCTGGTTCCTGGCTTCAGATCAGCCCAACTCTGGCCATTATGGCCATCTGGGGAGTGAACCAGTGGATGGAAGACCTTTCTCTCTGTCTGTAACTCTACCTCCTAAATAAATAAATTTTTTTTTTTAATTTTTGACAGGCAGAGTGGACAGTGAGAGAGAGAGACAGAGAGAGAAAGGTCTTCCTTTGCCGTTGGTTCACCCTCCAATGGCCGCCGCTGCAGCCGGCGCACCGCGCTGATCCAATGGCAGGAGCCAGGATCCAGGTGCTTTTTCCTGGTCTCCCATGGGGTGCAGGGCCCAAGCACCTGGGCCATCCTCCACTGCACTCCCTGGCCATAGCAGAGAGCTGGCCTGGAAGAGGGGCAACCGGGACAGAATCCGGCGCCCCAACCGGGTCTAGAACCCGGTGTGCCGGCGCCGCAAGGTGGAGGATTAGCCTATTGAGCCACGGCGCCGGCTTAATAAATAAATTTTTTAAAAAGTTATATTTCACTAAAGTTTATTTGAGAAGATACAATGAATTATTTTTAAGAATATTATAACAAATCAAGTTGGAAAGGG